TTCCCTCCTCTCATTACTTGAAAGACCAAAATTTAGCTCTCTGGAGCAGGAAGGGAGCAGGCTGTGAGTAGTGTTGATTCTGTCAAGCTTCTGAGTTAAAATATTTTAGTGATCAAATTGCAAGATAGTGCAGATAGGATTTGTTCCTAACACTTACCTCAGTACTGGCATCACAGCTTTCTGCCCCTTCTGGGAAAGATCTACACTGGAGTCAGGACTTAAAAGCTCTGTGGAAAATGCAAATCTCCTTGAGGGTTCACAGCACCTGCCTGGTTTTGGCCAGAAACTCTGGGGAAATTTCTCCCCAGGGGATTTTTTCTGGGCTCTGTCTTGTCAAAGCAGCCTAAGCCGTAGGAGAGATTGTCAGCTTGCCTGAAGGCAGCCTGCTGCGGGCAGGTGAAGCCTTGCTTTTTTCCTTCCATAACCATTTTGCACTTGCTCTGTCTGATCTATAAAATAATTTAGTGGCTCTGATAGAAGAGTCTCTCACCTTCACCGTGCTGTGATGGTGTAAAAATCAGTTAACAGGACACGGAGAAGGAAAAGTGACTGTGCTCTGTAACCATAATGGCTACACACACCGCAGGAATTTGTGCATCCCAACCTGCTCTCCGTGCCTGGCTGGAGCAGGCCAGCATGTGGTGAGCTTTCTGTTCCAACAGTCCCCTTCCTGCTCCTCACTCCAGCACTGATCTGCCTGTTCCCTGTCCTCAGAGAAAAGAGAGACATGATAAAAAGTGGATCTGGTATATTGAAACCTTCCCTAGGAGCTGCCTTCTGTCACTGTTTGCTCTTCAAACACACAGCAAAGGCCAGGGTGACAGCATTTCAGATCCTTCTCAAGGAAATTGGGAGAAATCTCTTCCTATCTCAGGTCAGGGGTATAATTTTTGAGGTGCAGAAGTACCTGAGCTGCAAATGCAGAGGGTTGTTTCTTGAGAGCTGCGGTTATTGCCAGCTTTTCCCACAGGCTCTCATATTTCAGAGAGGATGTCACAATAATTCAGAGAGTGTATTCCCAAGGTCTAAACTTTCCCTGGCTGATAGGGGCATAGTCCTTGGAGACTTAAATCTGACAGGTAATGTGGGAATGGTTCAGTGCCAGCCATCCAGCTGCTCTCTTTCTTCAGGCCTTGCATTTAGCCCGGTGTCTGGTGTTACATGGAGCCGGTTTTGTGATGAGATGATGGATGGCTCTCCCTTCCCTTTTAGATGGCACCCTAAATGCAAACAGCTCATATGCACTGAAGGGTGGCAGCTCCATGTGCTTCTCCACCTTTATCCTGTGCCTTTTAGTTCCAAACCAATCCTTCAACACGGAGTATTTCCGTGTTGTTGTGACTCCCCCTTTCCTGGGCAGTGAAGTGTTTTAAAGCCCTACATGGAGCTCCAGCATGGGAATAAGATGCTTTTGCAATTACTGCAATCAAAGCAGTAGTGCTGAAAGAAGCCTGATTTATGAAGGAATTTTTAAATGGAGTTGCAACATAGGATACAGTGATTCTGGTGGGGCCAATTAGTGGATTAAATTATCTGTATGTAAAGTCCTTTTAGCATTGGTGTTTTGGTTCTTGGTGACTGTTCCATTCATATTTTTTGGCCGGGTTGAAAGGGTGGATGTGAAGCTGGAATGATGACTTAACCTCTGCATTACAAGAAATGCAGAACACTGTAGTTAGATATTAACTGTGATCTGCACTTGTGTGCATGCTGATCCTTGAAGAGCTGACCATTTATTTTCTAGTGTTTAATTTTTCACTTCTGTTTCCCAGAAGAATGTAGACCAGTTTAACCTTAAGCACCTATCCTCAGCTCTTTTTCTTTTTTAAGAACCAGGGTGTATTTGTCCATATATCCTGAACTCTAATGAGGACACACATCACTTGTGTTTGTTTCAGGATGTTATAAATAAGAGTACAAAGCTACTGCAGCAGGATGAGGTGAGGGATGATCTGTGATAGCAGGCATTACCAGCTATGCCAAAAGCCTGGAATCCCCCTCAGAATGGATGAGCAGACAGAGAATGTCTTGAGTCCAATGTCAGTCCTTGAATTCAGGGGTCTGCACATTGATCCTGGGGTACTGTAGAGCCTCTGTGAGAAACAGGCTGAGCGCTGGCTCCCTGTAACCAAAAGTGGTGTTTTGACAAGATTTGGTTCTCTTCATAAATGTTGCATTACTGAAAATGAACATTGCTGTTCTTCACCGGTGAAATTCCTCTCTTTTGTTTCCTGGAAAGCTGGAACAGCTCCTTACTGTTGGCAAGGGGAAGAAAAGAGACACCTGAGACTTGAAGCATGTAGGGCTGTAGAAAAACAAGGTGCATTAGGAAGGGAATTGGTCCAAGTGCAGGAACCAAGTCGATGACATACCCCTTTTGTACACTGCCCAGAGCTGGTGTATCCATGGCAAACGACGTCACTGGAGCATCTCATCCCCTGCTGCACAGGACAGATCCTTAAGCATGCAGGAGTTGTGGTTGTTTTGACAACTGTATACTAAATTTATCTGGAAATAACGGGGAAAAATTTAATCTTGCGTTGCTATGTGTGCCTCGTGTTTTATTTATAGTTTGTTAGCCAAACCTGCTGACAGGATGTATCTGAACTCCCTGCCTGGGGAATGAAGGGAGGTAGGATCGTACCAGCCGCTGCCTGGAGAAGGCATTCCAGAGGCTCTCTGAAACTTTACGTGAGGCAGAAAGTGTGCAGGCAGATGGCAGCTGCTCTAATTAAGACTTACTGTCTCTGTCTGTTTTCCTGCTGCTGTGGTTTTTAAGGTGTCTCTCTTCTTTTTAACACCGGAGGAATTTTAGTAATTTATTATCTGTACAGCACGGCATGGATTATATTACAATGATAAACAAGCTCAGACCCACTGCAATAAATGACTTGAATCCTCAGTAAATTGGGCAATGGGTTGACGAGTCTCCCAAGACAATGGCAGCTGAAGATGTGTAAATGAAGATGCCATTTAGTTGTTCCTCATCACCAAGATCTGTGAAACTCATTCACAGCCTACACAGCTCTAGAGATGCCAGGCAAAAAGAGATTCCATAGCAAATAAACATGAAAAGCATGAAAAGCACGGGTTGCCTGCGGGTGCTCCTGATGTTGGAGTGCAGTTTAGCTTGAGGGTGTTCTGTTGTTGTTTTGTTGCTTGGGGCTTGATCTTTTTCTGGGTTTTGGGTGTTCTTTGGAAGTGCTTTCAGCATTTGGAGTGGGTAAAGGCTGTGCTAAGTGGGTTCCTTCTGGCAGTGACAGACTGACAGTGTTTTCGGTGTTTGAAATCAAGGGTTGGTTCACTGGGATATTAAACCGGGGTTTCTTTGGTCTTTCAGAATTTCAGAAGCTGTGGAGGAGCATTCCCGTGGATTCTATGGATGAGGAGAAGATAGAGGAGTACCTGAAACGACAGGGTATTTCTTCCATGCAAGAAACCGGACCAAAGAAAATAGTAAGAGATACAAATTGCACATCCTCCTGGGAGATTCCCCCTTCCTCCCCCTGCACTCTTAGTTCCAGAATGTGTTGGTGAGCCTGTGCACAGCTTTGTGTAGCTCTGGAAAGTGTGTCCACTTCTAAAAAGTTGCAAAAACCAGTGCTGCAGCCACCACTCAGTGATTTCTATAACTTGTTTGAGACAGAGTAATTAATCCAAGCAGCATCAGAAAGAAGGCAAACGCCAGAAATCCCTGTCAGCTCCAAAGTGGAAGCTTCTACTTGAAGCTGTACCATACATTATGAGCAGAAGTATTTTGGGAGAAAGGTGGGTTTTGGTTTTTTTTTTTTACTTTTCTGTTAAATAGCTTTGAAATCCTGATGGGATTGTGGATAGAACTGTACAGAAGCACGTACCCACTTCTGTACCTGTGGAGGAGTGTTTGGAAACTTCACTTACAAACGCCTGGGACACTGAGTCTCTGCTCTGTTCCCAGGGTCATCTCCCTGCCTGGATTGGAATTGGATGCTGTTGTTTCTTGCCAAAACAAGCCAGCACCTCCCTTCCCTGCCCACCCCTGGTTCAGGCAGGGCTCATCTTTCACAGCAGCGATGACCAGCACAACCTCACACACCAGGTCAGATGTCACATATTTCCTGACTCCTGTTTGTTTCTTCTTGCAGGCTCCCATTCAGAGGAGGAAGAAACCTGCTTCTCAGAAGAAACGTCGGTTTAAGACTCACAATGACCACTTGGTTGGAGTATTAAAAGATTACTCTGATGTGGTTCCTGGCAAGCAGTGAGCGGTTGAATTCTGGAGCAAACGCGCGTTTTCAGACGGGGCTTTTTGCCGCAGGGGCTCGGTGTCTGCTCACAGAAGGACTGACTGTAAATAATAATGTGATGTGTTTCCCCCACCCCAGCAACTGCCGAGGTGAAACAGGTCAGTTTGAGAGCAAGTATGAGGTATTAAATTTAGAGGTTAATTTAATTAGCTGTTGGGAAAGGTTTCTTTAAAGTAAGAGGTTCTCACTAGTTGCCTCTTGGCATAGGGTGGTAAATGGTGCTCAGCATGTAATGCAGGAATTCCTGCTCAGTGCTTAACTCTGCTTTTACATTGCTTAATGGGTATTTACCTGGTATTACTTACAAGGGGCTTTCTAGTGGGACTGAATACAGCATTTGTTTTACCTGTTTCAGGAAAACCTTTGCAGGCAATCACTGCAGGCAAAGTTTCTTTGACAGTCAAATACAGCCACGGTTTGTATGGTTTGTATGCTTCTTCCTTGCCACGGGACTGAGCTTTACTGAAAGTCTGTGATATCTGAGACTCAAACTCAGAAAACTCCCTCTCCTAAAATCCCAGCAGGCTGCAGGATGGGATGCAGCCACAGTTTCCTAATGCTAATCAGGAATTGCCCTTGGCGATTTCACCACATTGTTGTGGGTGCAAAGTGTGTTACACGTTCTGGTCTGTGGACAGGAGGGAAATAAAACAACGGTGTAATACTGAAGCTTTTTTTTTTTTTTTTAAGTAATAAACTTACAATGCTGGGTTCCAGTGTTGCTTCCTGAAAGAATGAGAGAATCGGCATCTTTTGTGCTTGTTTTCCTTTTCAAGGAGGTAAAGGAATCTTTGCTGTATTTTTATCTTCTCGGTGACTTATTGTTCTGGGCTAATGCTGTCATCTTTTTATCGGTCTTGGTTGGGGAGAGGGGAGGAACCACCTTAAACGAAAGCTCCCTGTAGCTGCCTGATGTTCTGTGCAGCACAGCCGAACGTGGATCGTGGCCAAATTATGTCCTTTTGATAACTTATTTTTATGTTCTGAACCGGAGTCAGTCAATGCAGATATTGTTTTCGTGGCGCTGCGGGAGAGGAGCAGTTCCCCTGCTCTTCCAGGGTTAGGATCAGAGATAAGAGAGGTGACTGCAGCACCCCACGGACGGCAGATCCCCCCTGCCCATGCATGAGCTCCTGTCTTGCTTGATGCACCCGGGGTTGAAGCAGAGGCCGCCGGGCCTGGACACGTGAGCAGATGAAGAATGAGGCTTTGTTGCTGTTGCACTGAACGAGTTCTGTCAGCTTGGGGAAATGTGCTGCTGGAAGTGCAGCATTTATCCTCCTGATTTTCAAGGCTGCTCTTTCGAGAGACAGACAGTGCTCCCAGCGTTGCACATGTCAGCCCTGTTTAAAGAGTTGCTAAATGCCGTTAGGAGGTTTCTTCTATTATTTTTTTAATCTATATATATTTCATGCCTTTTAAATATATATATTTATAAAAGCATGCTGCTCCAGCTGGTTTTGAAACTGTTTTTCTTTCCTGTATCTTCCAGGTCAGCACAAACAATTCCTCTTGGAGCTTTTTAGTTTTCCATTACAGCTCTGCTTTAAGTACCACGCTTGCAAAACTGTTCACCCCTCTTCTGTCGTCTTCACTCGAGAAAAAAAGAGTTCCCTTCCATCTGCTGCAGTTTTTGAGCAGTGATTTTTTTTGATAGTGGTGCTTGGACAACAGCAGAGCTCTGCCTTTCCTACCTTTGGGGGATTTTATGGAGTAACTTCCCAGTCATCTTGCATAGCATTGCCCTATCTCTCTGAACCAAAGGTAGGCTGCTGGCTTTGTTTCTCTGCTCAAGTGATTTAGATAATAGAGGAGTCTAAAGAAAATGCCTCCAGCTACTTTAAAAGATTAAAAATATGTTAGGTCAAAAAAGGGAGAGCAGGAAAGCGAGGTTGACTGTGAGTTCTGTGCTGGCATTGTCAGGCTCCAGTGTTCAGAGGAACAGAACAGTCCAGGTGGTGTCCAGTTGGAAAGCCTGGATGAGATGCTTTGTCTCACTGGAGGATGTCTTCCCCTCTGCCATAGCAGCAGAGAGGGCATAAATAAGCTTTGCAACTTGTTAGGGTAAATAAGGGAAGCTCACATTGTCTTGCTAGAGGTGGCATGGACTACAGACAGCAGTGGTGAAGTAAACATGTTCAGACAATAAGCTTAGATGCTCCTTGTCCTATCACTAGAATTCCTGATGAAGAGTCCCTCTCCAGCTTCATCTCAGACTACATCAGTGTGAGTCTGTTTGCTAAAAGCATTTTAGTACCACTCCAGTCCACTTCAGTCTCTTCACATTGTTCATGTCCAGATCAGGCTTTTCACTGAAGTTCATCTGTTAAAAACTTAAACCTGCTTCATCTTCCTCCGGGGTGTTTTCCTGTATTCTCTCTCTGGCAAGATGTTTCTCCCAGTGGCCAAAACCATCGTGCCCTCAGCTTGCTCTCTTTGGCAAAACCCTTCTTCCCTCAGTCTGGCGTTGCAAAGGGCTGCTGAGAGGCGTCATGTTCTCTCCTAGGAGCCCCCATTTTTCCCCTCCTTCCCTGGAAGCATCTGCTGCTATCCAGGAAGATGAGGGGACTTAGGTGGAGAACAAGGAGTAGAATATTTCAGGTGGAAGTGACCTAGAGTGACCATCTAGTCCACAGCAGGCACCTTGGTCTCCTGCATTTCAGGAAGCTTCTTTGGCAATCCCATCTCAGTGCCATCTTTTATCTGTCCCTGCCAGGTGAGGACTTGCCTCTTCTGCTCTCCTGAGGCTCCTGTCCAGCAAGGACATTGCTCTCTCAGCTCTGGGATTCGGTGTGTTCATCCTGACAGAGCTCTCCTTGTTCAAGGGTCAAGTTTAGTAGCCCAGGTGTGTCACACCTCTAAACATGGAGCTCTGCTGGCTTCTCTCCTAAAAGTTGCTCTACTGACAGAGCTATTCCACCTCCTCCTCCATTATGATGATCATTCTGGAAGGGGATGGAAAACAGCAGGATTCTGTATGGTTGAATGAGAAAACTGACATAAGGCGATGTGTACCAGAGCTAATCTATAATTCATCACGATCATTCAGGGCTTTTAGAAAGCGGAGGAGAGCGAGGCGAGGGAGCCCCGAGAAAGGGTATGAAGGCCCTGCACGTGGCTGCAGCCAGCGAGGGCTGTCACTTCCGATGAGCAACGGGCGGGCGGTGCCAGGCCACCAGGGAGAGCCGGGCCCCTTGTACCTGCTGCTGAGGAGGGGCTGCCTTTGCAGATGACTAGAAGCAACTACGGTGCTGACATCTCATTATTTCCAGCTTTGTTGCTCGCTTTCCGGTCGCTGCTAATGTACCGGGCCCAAATTCCTTTGTGCGTTACTGCCTCGGGGGCCTCTGGCAGCTCCTGCTTCTGGGGGAGCGTGTCCAGTTGAACTGAGAGCTGGTTTAGACTGGCAAGGCTAAGGAGGAACAGCCATCAGGGAGAGGAGGGCTCGGATCCCTCTCTTCTGGTGCTGGCCTTTTACTGCTGGCAGAGTCAGCGATATGGCAAAGCAGGTGGTCTGGGACTCGATCTCCTTGGACGGGGAGAGAGGACCTGCTTCGACACTGCTGCTCAGGTCTGCCATTCCAGCTCGTAGATGCGTTCCTGACTGTGTCGGTGTTGTCAGCCCTGCGCAGGCTCTCTGGACACATCTCCGGGGAAGATTGGCAGCTCCCCAGAAGAAAGGGCTTGCCTGGACACAGCAGGGCTCCCGACAGGAAGGCGGCCTGGCCTCTTCGTCATGCTGGTATTGCATAGCTGTAGCTGTTCTCTTCCCAAATGAGTTCTCTTCCCCTCCCCCAGGAAGGCAAGCTGTTGACTCTCTGCTCAGCCCTAGGGAGGTCACACCTGGACACTGTGTCCAGTTTAGGCCTCTCCCTTTATTCAGTCCCTCCTCCATCCCCAGGGATGCTGGAGCTCCCAGGCTGGTCAGGGCTGGGGGCAGAGGGGCTGGGAGGAGGACTGGGGAGCTGGGACAGCTTGGTGTGGTGAGGAGATGACTGGGGCTGCATCCAGTCACAGGTACAGCAATGTGTGAGGGGCAGTGAGGAGGATGATGTGGTCAAACTCTTTTGGCAGCCATGGCAGATGACATAATAGGAGAATGTGGGAAGCTTGGCTTGGATATTAGGAAAAAAACAGCTGGTGGGGAGATGTCTCCATCCACAGAGGGAGGCTTCAAGCATCACTCAGACAAGACCAGGCTGCCCAGGTCCCTTACTGGCAGCATTCCTATAGCGAGAGGGAGGTTGAATCAGAGACCACCTGCAGCTCCTTTTACTCACATGCTCCTGTGGGTCTGAGCCCTGGTTCCTTTGGTACTTCCTGGCGTGCTGTAAGAGCAGTTCTTGTGTGTCTCTGGCTTGCTTTCTGTTGCTTTGGCTTGCAGTGTTACTCAACAACTCAGAAAAAACAGCCATGACTCTGAAAACCCGTCAGTGCTGCTGTGGCTGGAACCACGTGTCAGGCTGCACTGGCCTCTTGGGTTGGACCTTGTGCAGAGTGCAAGCACAGCAGGGGAAAGGGATGGTTAAGGCAGGAGGTTGTCCTGCCATTAAGTTAATTTTTTGACTATACCTGCACTTCTGGGCTTGCATCCAAGGCCTGAAGTACTTGCGCAGTTTCTTCCTGCCTCCATCACTTTGGATGTGTTCTTTATTCCCCCTGAGCTGGTTATTAATTATGGAGACTGCAGAGATGAAATCCAGGCTCTGCTAATGGTTGACTTCCTCGTGTTTTAGAAGCAGCGTTTCAGTGACCTGCTAATGGTATTTCTTAGCTTTTCTTTTTTAAGCTCCACCATCATTTCGGTTTCTGCTCTGAGCGAGGCAGGTAACGGTGTTTAAGTGTTGGCTGGCTCTCTGGGCAGATCCCATCTGCAGCACGCTGCTCATCTCCCTGGGTTGAAATGTCCTCCTTTTCATGCTGGCAGGGAGCATGGAACAGCCTTGCCTGGCAGCATTCAGGCAGTGCAGTGACCCTTGCTGTGTGACGCCTCTCAGTTTCCCCGAGCTTTAGGAATCGGGGAGCAAATCCATGCTGAGCACTGTGCCGAGCCCCAGCGATCCTCACAAAGCCACCCACCCCTTCGCTCCTACCCACCAGCTTCCCTCTCAGCCTCTAAAGCTGCCTGGCCAAACCCCAGTGCGATCTCATCTTTTCTCTCCCGGCCTTGTTATTCCTTCTCCCCCTCTCCCAAGGAGGCCCAAGGAGCAGATGCTGGGCTTGCTCCTCCTCCCTGCCCCATCCGGGCTGCGGGCGCTGCCGGCCTCGGCGCCGGCTCTGTCTGCCCTTTGCTCTCCCTGGCCAGCCTGGCCTGTCTCCATTCCCGTGGCAGGATCCTCTAGTCCCTGTCACTGCTGCCTGGCTGCCTTCACTGCTGCCTGCTCCCCCAGTCCTCTGGGAGCTACAGCTGTCTTTCTCCCGTCCTGTTCCCATTTCTCCACTGCTCTGATGTGGGCACTTAGCCCTGTGTTTTTCTTCGTAGACCGTGCCAGGCTGTTCCCTGCCTTCCCTGCTGCTGGTCAGCAAACCTCTGTGCAGGGCTGCAGGGATGTGCAGGAAGGAGCTGCCTGCATCCCCTCCTCCCCGAGCTTAGCCTCGGTGTTAGGGAATGGGGAGGGAAAGACTTGGGAAAGTGGAAACAATGAGTGTGAAATCTTCTCGGTTTGGTTTTTCCAGCTCTGCGTGTTCATATCCCCCGGGACATATCCCTGGTATCGGATGGCAGCAATGGCCTGGGAGTCCCTGATCCCGTTTTGCAATCCCCCAGTCTCAGCCAGCAGCTCAGGCCTTCCTGTAAGTGCCCTGATGGTCACGGGGAAGGAATGTTCCCCCGACCGCATGGGGAAAGGTCACCACGGGCAAAGGGGACGCTGGGACTGGGCCGATGAGGGCAGCGCTGATCAGCACGGAGCCAAAAACATTCTGGCTTACAGGGGAAATGGGAGAAAAAAAAAAGCATTTCTAGAGGTTAAATATTTTGGGCAAGGCCCCACTTCCTTTCACAGGGCACATCTCAGAGCAGATGCAGTGCCCAGGCCAAGTCCAGGAGGATGTGTGTCTCTGTGTGTGTGTGTGTGTGTGTGTGTGTGTGTGTGTGTGTGTGTGCGTGTGTGTGTTTGATCGCTCTCTTAGCTGGAGGATGTTTGCTGCTGAATCTGCTCCCACAAACAGCTGTGTGTCCGCTCAAGTACTGCCTGGGACGGAGGTTTTGGCCAGTTATTGCTGCTCAGAGCAGCCCTTGGGCTGAGCAGCATGTTGTGGCTCCCTTCCCTTCCTACCCTGTGCCTGCCAACAAACCTCTCCCCTGGATGCAACTCGGAAGGAAAGCTGTGACTCGTGGTGGCTGTGGCCACAGTGGGATTAACATCCAATATTAAGGGCTTAACTCATCCCTGCCAGCCAGAGGTTCCAAATAACTGCCATGCCTTCTGCCTGTTCCTTCCACCCTGGAGTTTGTAGCTGCCTTGGCTTAGCTGGAGCTCGCTCCTGGCACTTTGTTCTGAGAGCCTGGCTTGTTGGCTGAGGCTCCTGGGGATGCTGGTCTCATTTATTGGGGCGGGGGCGGAGCGGAGAAAGGAGGAGGAATTTCTAGGTTGGGCTTATGAACCCGAGTTTTTCAAAATTCCCAGCATGTTAAAAAAAATACAAAGCTAATCTGGCCCTTCGTCTCTAGGTTACGTTTGCCTGGGCCGGGGCTGAGCTCATGGAAAATTGCAGCTTAGCTCCTGTGCTCCCTGCCAAGATTAGTAGGTTTAAAAACTAACTGATAACATCTTTGTAAACTTGGAGTCATTTCTCTAAAGCCTGCTGATCCTTCCAGCCTGGATTTTGGAGCTTTTCTAGAGATCCAAGAGAGCCAAGCAGGGTGATGGTATCTGCCCCGAAAAATCACCCTGGAGCATCAGAGTGTCTTCAAATACCCCGAGGGAGGAAGGAGGCTGCTGTTCCCCGAGGCCCCGAAGGGTGTGTTGGGATCCCTCGCCCTATTCCTAACCAGACACACGGCACACAACCGTGCTCTGCACGTAACTTATAATAATCACCGGTTTTATTTTTAGAAAATTACAATAGAAAAGTACCTTTAAACATATTTCCAAAAGCGGAGTAGACAATGTGGAAGCTTCTCTCCTCTCCACAACACAAAGTACAGGAAATAGTTTGCTAAAAGAGTTAGTCTGTCACTTGGGAACGCCGGTATCGTTCCTTTTAGAGCCGCTCTGAGGTTTGTCTTGGATTTGATTTCTTCTCACATCACTTTTATCAGTCCCGTTTTTTACAGAAGACTCCAACGGGACGGTTTCCCAGCACGAAAAATCCCATTTTCTCATCACCCTGCCCCACCCCAACAGCCGAAACCTCAGCTGTCTTGTTTTGGCCCACCCGCAGGACAAGAGGAAGGAGGAAGGAAAAGGTGATGATGCTGAATGAGGCCACGGACAGCTGGGAAACCGGCTACAGTGAGGCCTGGGCAGCGGCTGAGCTCAGTGTTCCTTGCAGCTGGAATGAGGACGGGGAAGGCAATGGAAGGAGGAGTTTTGCACCTCCCTTTGCAGGAAACTGAGACCTGATTTGAGGTTTTGGGTTGGTTTGCTCTGTTCTTTTCTTTTTCCAAATTCCTCCTGGGGCAAGGAGAAGGAGCAACTAGTACGTCAAGCAGTCTCTGCTGGTACACTACCTCCATAAAGGGCGTTGGCAGCTTCCCTTCTTGTCTTTGCACATGGAAACGTGGGAATGCCACGCAGCGAGCAGCCAGACCAGCATAACCTCGGTGCTAAAACCCCAGTCCAGCGCTTCGGCGTAGCAGGAGTTTTTCTCATACAGCAGTTTACGTTGCCTGTAACAGCTTGAAGCAGCCATGGCAGGAGGAGGAGGAGGAGGAGGAGGCAAATTGTCACCTTGCTACATGTGCGGGCCGTGTGCCCATCCCTGATCCGAGCCGTTGCACCCCGCGGAAGCTTTGCACAGCAGCTACGAACACAGCCCTAAGGTACAAAAAACACCGGAAGAAGAAAGTTCCTGATTGTCCTGCCTGGTTGTCATTTGGTACAACTGGGAAGAGGACAGTAATACTGTAGTGTCCGCAGACGTCCCGCCGACGCGGCCGGAGCACAGTTCCTGTGCCGGAGGGAGCACAATTCCTACGAACCCACATGGTGTGTCTCGACATCCGCACACACGTGAACATCGTGCCTTCGACATGCAGCTGACAGGGCCAGGGGGATAATAAGACTCTTAATTACACGCCTTCCAAAGTCAAGCGCAAAACCTGTGGTCCGACCCGGTGTAAGATTGTCCTGTTGAGGAGCTTTGGTACAAAAATACTTTGCTCTCATTTTGCTCTTTTTTCCATTTTTTGTTGTTTTTTCTTTCTTTTTTTTTTTTTTTGTAGTCTGCTTTCTTATGGTTCTGTTTGAAAAGTTCAAACACTACAACAATGCCTGTCAAACCATGCTTTCAGGAGCAACACACTCTTCCTTACAAATATACAGTGTAAAAGAGGAAAATATTATTACTAGGTAATGTTCTTCTTTTTTTTCTTCTAGGAGAGCAGATGTGTGATAGAGGCTGTGGGAAAGTCTTGGAGGAATCCAAACTCGTGTGAGGTTTTTTTTTCAAGCCTGTAACAACAGAGAGAGGTGTTAAAAAAAAGGCAGCTGTGACGGAGGAAAAAGGGGCTGTGATTCATCTCTCTTCCTTCATGGGGAAGCTCCTGTGCCACAGTGTAGGGGAGAGGGAGACTTGTTTTGGAAATCTGTGCCCAGACCTCACTCCAAGGACAGGGAAAGGCAAGGTGGGAAATGCCTGTGCAGAGAAACTGTTGGCATCCCAGGTGTAAAGGACCCAGTTTGGTCCTCCCAGTGTGGCTGAAGCCCCTGGGGTTTGAACTGGGAAGCTGAGAGTTAAGTTGAATTTTGCACTTAAGAGGAATTCGGTCTCTGTTGATCCAAGGCAGGAAGCGAGGACGGAGATGAGATTACCAGGGGTAATTCAAAGCTGAGAGGCATTCCTTGGCTGTGGAAACCCTCGCCCCAGATAACAGCGATAAAGGCGGGAATGGCAGGGCCGTGGTTCCGGCAGGGCAGCAGCGGGAGCGGCAATGCCACCCTGCAGGGATCAACCCCAGGGTCGCGCCTGCCTCGCTGCCTGTTCCCTCGGGGACATCACGTTGGCTTCCTCGCCCTTCTACCCCCTCCCCAAAGCAGCCAAGCTCACAGGACAAGCTGGACCCCATCCCGGCCTTACCAGCACACTGTGGTCCGGCGGAGAGCACGTCACCCCAGTAGCCGCCTTGGAAGACTCCACTAATACCCACAAGACTGACTGTAGGCCACCATCACACACCTGAGACCTGTGGGAGGACACAGCGGAGGGTGAGGGACGCTGGCAATGGGGGCTGAGGTCGCTGTGCTGTGGGGAGAGGCGGTTTCACAGTGGTCAGAGCCAGAGCTTCCTAAGGGGACGGTTTTCACCTCAGCCCTGCCCTGATGAGCTCCAGGCATTAAGTACAGGACAGGGCCAGGCTGGCAGCAAAACCCTTCCCTGGGCTGTGCCCTTCTCAGGTGGAGGAGCCTGGCAGGGAGCCGGGAGGTCCCCAACCCTCCATCCTCACTGCCCACTGTGACTACCAGTGTTGCTGTGGTGCTGTGGGCTGGTGGACCTGTTCCAAAGGATTCACTCGCCTCCCCTTCCCAAATATGGCTCTGCTTACATTTTATCTGGAAACATTGGCACGGTGCATATTTTGGAAGAACCACTGGTTCCCAAAGCCTCGCTGCTCCCTATTTTTATCTGCTGGGCCTAAAATAGCCGGTAAGTTCTTTGTGGATCCAAGTCTGGGTCCAGCTGCAGCCAGGGCTGGGCCTCCTGCCCTCCCGGATGAGTGACCATGGGAGCATGGGCAGCCGATATCAGAGCTTTGGGTGTGGAAGCAGGAGCCTTCCCAGCAGGGATCAGCAGCGTGCAGGGATGGTTCCCAACCAGGATGGTCGGGGTGGGCTGGGATCACAGGGTAAGGCAGTGCTCAGCGTCCAGTGAACCTCTTTCCCCTCTTCCACTTGGGTCCCCTTTGTTTATTTATCCACAAGAGGCCGAGTTATTTGCAGAGCATGTCTTGCAAGGCTTTTTCCATCTGAAGAGGTCCCAGATGGAATCGGATCGGTCCCTCCCTCCAGCCAGGCTGCTCAGTCGAGGCTGCGCTTCTTGTTTTGGCAGCCCCACCACCCGATGCTGCCAGGAGAGTTTTCTTTAAGGTTTAATGAGATGGTTGTGTTGGGGCTGCCTTCTTTTCTATCACTACACCCCTTCCCCAGCAGGATGCCTTTTCCATCCTGCCCTGGCACATTTGGGAAAGTGTAGGGGTGAATGGTGGCAGGGACATCCCCTTCCCGGGGACAAGGAAGGCAACTGCACTTAAGGGTGCCTGCTGGAAAGTGGCCTCACCAATAGTCTGGCCACCCACCCTGAGCTGCTGGAGACCTCAGGAGTCGTGGGGTGGGGGGAGGAGGCCAGGGTGAGGGTGGAGGTGTATGCCAGCCAGCACAGGAGGATGGGACTGGGATGGTGGCACTCACCCGGCATTCAGCAGAACTGACGGGACTTCCAGCCCTGAGAACCAGCCTCGGAAGGAGGGAGCCAGCGCATCTGCAAAGGCAAGGGAGACACAGGGTGAGAGGGGGGTGGCTGCCCACCCTGGCAAGATCCAGCTGCCTCTGGGCTCCTCTTTCCCGGCCTTCCCCAGGCACAGGGTGGAGGGAGGTCAGAGCACAAGCAGTACAGCTGTCCCGGCTCGGACTGGGACAGTAACACTGGGGCCAAGCACAGCCCCCAGCATCCCTGCTTCCAGCAGGATGGAGCTGGGATAGCAGCACCACAATCCCACTGAGCAGGAGTGATCTCATCCCTCGCAGCTTCTCAAAAGCCTGCTTTAAACAGGGCGGAAAACATCAGATGCCAAAACCCAGCACATGGTGCTCAGTGCTCTGCCTGATAACACCAAGTCAGCCCCCACCCATTCCAAGGTCCTGGTCTCAGCAGGATCCAGCCAAGCAGCTCCAGTTTGGACAGTGGCACCTGTCTCCCGTGCCCTCCACCAAACGTGCAACACTGGCAGCTGCAAGGGGGGTGGGAAAGGTGCCCACCACCGTGCTTCCCCTCATGATGATACTGCACATCAGGTAATATTTCTTCTGTCTAGCCTCCGTTTCCTTCGCTGTCGCTTCCCTGAGCAGGGCAGGTGCTGCCTGTTAGCAGTTATTTGACAAGGCGTGTACGTAGCTGCAATAATATTTACTGCTGCTCTTCCTATGAGCAGCAGGGCACAAAGAGCTGGAGTTTCATCCAAGGTTTGCACGCCGAGCGCTTTTCCACACCCTCCCACTCAAACCAGCCCCTGGCTGCTCCGGCTCCCAGCAATGGTGGCTCTGGATAACCTGGCTCAGTCCTGGTGGGCCAGGGCCAAAAGCCTTTTGGAAGCATTTTATCCAGCTAATCAGTTTCTGTGTGCTCATTTCCTCCTACTCATCACCAAGTCAGAGCCAGCAGCAAGGAGCAAAAGCTGAGATGATGTCCGGTGTGGATGCTGGGGAGGCAGCTGCCCATTCCCCCTTCCTGCCAGGGGTCTTTTCCCGGCATCCCCATGGTGCTGCAAGGCTGGCACTGCGAAGAAATCCTCTTCCTCCTCCATGTCCATTTGTTCTCTTCTTTCCCCAGCTCCTCTCCCAGGCGGATGGTTAATTTTTAACAGCCACGTGCTGCCATCAGGGGCCACCAGCGTTGGCAGCCGGCAGAAAGCGTTTGTGACAAGGCAGCACCTCGTCAATAAAAGATGGATCCTCCATTTGCGCTTCGCTCCCCTCTCCTCCCCGTCAGAGCTGCTTGGCTTCACACCCCATGTCCAGCACAGCACATCCCAGCAATGCTCCAGGGGCTCTGGAGCCCCCATCCCACACCACACCAGCAGCCGGATGGCAACGAGTGATGGGAATGGTCCGGACACGGAGAGCATGCCCATCCATCCCTCCCTCCCTCCCCACCTGCCCCACCACGGGTGGCAGCACAGGTAGGAAGGCAGAGAGAGGTGTTTGGGGAAAGGCAGGACCCCTGCCAGCGCTCAGCTCCATTTGGGAGCCGTCCCTAGGTCTCAGGGGGCAGGGAGTGAGTGCCTGTTAGCCGGGCAGAGGTTAGTGGTGCGGCGGGCACCAAGGGGGAAGGGGGTCCAGGGCGGGTGGGAGGGTGAGCGGTGGTGGCGGATGGGTCGGAATTACCTGGGCGTGCAGTGAAGCGGGATAGGTGAAAGCAGGAGGAGGTAGAGCAGGTGCTAATTCCGCTGGGTACAGAGGGTACGGCCCCCACACTTCAGGGCTACTGGGGTAAAGTGCAGGCACTGTGAGCTCATCTGCAAGAGAAGAAGAGGGAGAGTTAAACGGTGACCACAGGGCTGCCACCCCCGCCATGTCCTTCCTTCTCCCCCTGAAGAAGGAGAAGAGCTTCCCCCGGAGAAGTGAGGGATGTCACCACCAAGAGCCGACCTGCAAAGCCAAAATGGAACTGGGCTCATCGTCTCCTAAAGGTTTAGTGATCCCAGAGATCCAGCAGAGGAGAGAATGTGGCTCAAGCCTGTGCACAACAGTGAGGTGAGGAACTGGTGTCCACGCAAGAAAAGCTCTTCCAGAGGCAGAAACAGGTATGGAGCACTCACAGCAGGACATTGCTGAGGCCTCTGCTGAGACCCCCAGATGTGACAGGGAAACTGCCCAGCACGAAGGAGCAGCACCTTAGGCTTGTCCCACTCCCAGGCACCGTGCCAGGCTGGCTATCACCTGTCCCAGGGTCCCCTCCTCTGGGGACTCCTGGCAGCAAGCAGGAGCCGCTGGTTCCAATTGGACCTGGCATTCCCCGTCGCCACCCCCCCACCATGGTATTCCTGCTCCTTCCAGCACCCCGCATGACATCACATTCCCTGAATAAGGAATTTTCCCGAGGATGGGGGCAGCGCCCAGTGCCTGCCACCTCAAACCCTACTGGCGCTGCAGGCCCCGGTACTCACAGGGCTCCCGGGCGATGAACTGAGGTACGGCGGTGGGGAGGGGGGTGCTGGGATTTGGGGTGCCCACCAGCTTGCTCTTGGCCATCTTGGTGTTGGCCTTGGCGAACTCCAGCCGCAGCGTCTGGGGGATCTCGGGGTCGAAGCGGATGCCCTGCGGGAGGGGAGGAGGGGGGGAGGCACGGCGGGTGGGCGAGCGCTGCCGCGTGCCGGCCCCCGCAGCAAAAATAACTCTTCCCCCAGTTATTTATGGGTTTTTTCAACTTTCAGCCTTGAAATGAGCTAATTTGCCGGGCCCCGAGGCAGCTCGCATTCCTCCAGCATCTTTAGCATCGGCACCATATTTGGCAGTCGGCATCCCGCAAGGCCAAGCTCTTATCCAGAGGGATTAGCGGAGCCAAAGAAAAGAAGTTTTACATTGAAAATGAAGACAGGGAAGAAAAAAACAACCCCAAACCAAACCCAGGGAGAACTGGTGAGGAATCAGGAGAACCAGCTCCACATGATTCTGCCTCTGACTATTTCCAGGTAAACCCACAGAGGTAGAAGGGAGCTGCTAAAAGAAAGTGAGATTTGCTTTTCTTTCACAGATTTTGCTGGGATTTTTCCTGCTGAACAAACAGGAGAGGCTGGGAATGGTGCCTCTCGCTTGTATTTGTATCTAAGGCTCCAATCCTGAGGGTTCAAGCCCTCCTGGATGGCCCTGAGAAAGGTGAGAGGGATGCAGCCCCCTGGGAGGGAGGATGCGGATGTGAGAAACAACGATGGGATTGTCTGGAGGGATGGGGATGCTATGGGGCTGGCCAGCACGGGAGCTGCACATCCCCAGCGTGGAGGAATTCAGGGAGTAGCTGGAGACAGGAAAACAAGGGGGGAAATGGGAAAATGGAGCAGCCAGGCCGGGCACACTCACGTTCAGTGCGTTCTTCGCCGCCTCTGCCTCGGAGCGGCTGTCAAAGCTGACAAAGCCCACGGGCTGTGGAGGAAGGAGAGGAGCCCTCATAGTCAGGTGGGGAGCAGAGGGGACCCCCCTCACCCCAGGGACTGGTGGTGCCAGGGAATGGCTCCTACCTGTTTGGAGGTGAGTTTGATGAGAGACCCCTCGTACCCCTGCAAGGAAAGGATAAAAAAGGGTGTTCGGTGGAGATCCTCACAATTAAATAATAATAACTGAATAAACTGACTTAATTAGATTTTGGGGGAGGAACCAGCAGGCTCCCAGATCCCAGTAAGTTGTTTGCAGTCATGGGGCTGGGGCAGGGCTCAGCCCCACACTTCTAGCCCCCCTTTCCCTTCCCAGTTTGGTACCTTAAAGGGTCTGAAGAGCAGGTAAAGTTCCCGGGGCTTAATGTCCAGAGGTAACCCGCTGACAAAGAGTGTCCTCACCTGGAAAAGAAAAAAGGAGGTTCCTGGGGATTCTCTTCATCCCTACCTTGGCTTCCTGCAGCCAGAGGGACAATGCCAGCCCAGAGGGAACCTCCTGGGCAGCCAAAAGCCTTAAGCCACAATTGAGTGATGCAGAATTTTTGGGAGGGGTGTCCCCATCCTTCAGGTAGCCACAAAGGAAGTTGCTAAGGCACCATGGAAAGGTAACAGAGACCTGTCCTCACCTCACAGAGTGCTCTCTGGGCTGAAAAGGCTTCCAGCATCCCAGCACCTTCCTACCCCAGTCTGGCAAACAGGATCTGTCCCGGCATCCCCAGCGGATCCAGGACTCTGCAGACAATGCCTATTGTCTCACTTTAATTGCAGCAGCTCATTAAGGACTTCAAGAAGCAAATCCCAGCTCTTCCTCCTGGAGGACTGGCCCTGGTTTGGAGGGGGCTGGGTTTAAGCAGCTTGTCCCTGGTTTGGAAAAGTCACGTTTTAAGGGGGTTTAACCCTTTTTGGTGGAACTAATGTTTGTGGTGGATCATGTGCAGCATCCTCAGAGCTGGTGTGTTTGGCAGAAATCCTGCTCCCACCAACCCCGAGGCGGGATGTGGGGCTCCCCAGGGATGGGCAAACCCTGTGCTGGGATGGTTTTGCTTTACAACCAGCTCATAACTGGTAGAGCAATGTGGGGAACTGGATCTCCTGTCAGTTCCCCCTCTCCTCATCCACAAAATCTCATCCGAACACTTTGGGTTGGAGGAGAGGAAAATGTAGATTTATTTTATTTTATATTTTTGGCCAGGCACCCTGCCTGCCCCATTCCCTGGGAAAGAGACCTGGGAAACTGCCAGAAACAGCCAGCCCAGGCCTATTCTTCTGCTGACATTTCTTCTTTCTCTTGCAGATAAGCTATCTCCCCCATCTCCCAGCCTGGGAGCAGCAAACATTCCTGCTTTGTGGAACAAAACCTCTGGCTGACCTGTATCTGTTAAATAACAAAAGGTACTCGAGCTGTTTGCATATAGCCCTTGTGCCAACAGCCCTGGTGATACCCATCCTGGGTACCAGCATTATCATAACCATCATCATCATTCCTGCAGGTACCAGCATCCAGGCCGGATGGGATCAGCACAGGGGTGTCCTCACCCCTTCCTGAGCCAGGGCTGCACGCAGACACACCCTGGTAGCCTGTCCCCTCCAGTGGAGCCATCCAGGGTGGGCTGGAAGCCCCCCCAAAGCACCTTGGGGGACCTCTGCCAGATTTTTGCTGTCTCCTGAGATGAGAGGCTGATGGAGCATCCCAAGGCATTCAATACGGCTCTGTCTCCCCATGGAGACAGTGCCCAAATTTCTCCCAGCAGGGGCTGTGCCCATGAAATTCAGTGTAAAGAAAGCAAGTTTATCCTTTCCTTGGGGAAAAAATATTTCCTTTCAGACAGATCCAACTAAGCGTGGCTGCTATCCAGGGAATTGGCTCTCCGGACGCATCCACCTTCCCAGCTGGGTTTGTGAGCATCCCTGCATGGTGTCCCCTGTCTCCATGATCCCTGAAGCAATCCTGGCAAGCTGGCTTCTCATTTCTCCTCTCCCTGGAGAGCTACATGGAACACCAGAGGTGTCGGTGACAGCTCCAGGGGGCAGGTAGGGGGTACTGCCAGTTTTCAGCATCCCTGAAATCCAAACCCTACAAGCCCAAACCTGCCAGATCATTTATCCCCAAAGCCACATGAGAGAGAGATGGGACAGAGAAAAGACCCCGAGGAACCCTCCGAAATTCAGCCCCGCAGAAGAAGGGCTTCACTTCCATAATGATTTGTTTTCTTTGGAAGTTCAAACAGGGGTCGGCCAAGTTTGAATACATAAAATTACACAGCGGCGAGAGGGAGAAGGGCTCCGAAGGATCCCCCAGCTGGTTTCCAGCCCCAAAAGGCCTGGGAGAGGAAGGAAGGATACGAGCACGTGGGTGCTCCTCATCTGCACCCCACAAAACGGGCCTGGGGTGTACCGAGCCACAGGGATGTTCGAGCAGGTCCTGTGCAAACAGCATCCTTTCCCTGGGGAACAAACAGGTGAGGCTGGCAGAGTAAGGGAGTTTCCTCAGGATAATGCCAGCAGGCTGGACGGATATCCTTTTGCCAAGGGAAGGATTTTAGCAGAAATATTACTCCTGCCCTTAAATGGAAGGGGAGCTTCGGCTCCCAGAGAGCTGCTCCAGGTTTTCCTGTGCCGAGAGATCCCAGGGATTCAGTCACCATCACCAGAAACACTATCAGGGCAAAATCCTGCTCTGGAGTGGGAAAATAAAAAAAGCCTTATCAGCCAGCAGGCAAGCATATGTTCTTCCATGGGGAAAAATGACCCCTTCTGGGAGGCGGATCGGGTGAGGCGCCTGCTCCCAAGTGTCTCATGGGATGGGGCCAGACCTACAGCTCCCAAGCAAGGATTAGCGAAGGGCGCTGGAGCCTGGAATTCCTGCAGCCCAAACACCCCCACTTTTTTTTTTTTTTGGACAGCCCGAGCTGTTGAGTTTCAGTTCTGCTGTACAAACATTTTTCAGTTTCTTCATGGTGGAGCATTTCTCCATCTCTCCTCCTTACCATTTGGGGTGAAACCAAAGGGTTTTTCTCCAGGTCAGAAGTGCCGATGTTTGCTCTGGGAAGCTGCTGGCCACAGGTGCAGCACCTCAAAGGTGACCACCTTGATATCTTTCCATGGGGATGGCAGCTACGGGACATCATGAGGAGCACTCCAAGTCCCCTTCCACAGTCCTCCTCTGCTCCTGCCGCTGCACCCCACAGCTCCCAGATTTGCCAGGGCTGCTGGATCCCACCTCTGTCACCTTGCTCCTGGTTTGTGCCCTCTTGGCTTTTACTGTCCCTGCAGGAAGTCTCCTCTTCGTCTCTGCTACCCTCCCTCAGAAGGCACCTCCATCCCACTTCTGGCCTGTCCCTCTCACCTATACATCCCACCATCCCTTTCTGTTGTCCTTGAAATTCCCTATCCAGTCTGGGGTGTTTAAGGGATGATGGAAAGGATCTAGGGGGGTTTGCTGGGACGGTCAGGGCTGGAGACATGCAAGGAGAGTCAGGGCCTGGGCCAGGAGGTGGCTGGGGTCGAGGAGGAGAGGAGCATGGATCGAGGATGGCCCCAGCATGGAGATCCATGATGGAGCAGCCCTCCTCCTCCTCTCTGCACGTTAAGCCACAGGTAAGGTTCCTGAAGGTAAGGAAGCACCAGGGAGGTATTACCCTGCCTCGGACCCCCATCAGACGGCGGTGCCCCGAGGGATGCCGGGTGTCCCACCAGCACGGTCACGGTCCCCTGCCCCTACCCAAACCACCCCCGGTAAACGTTAACAGGCCGGGGGGGAGGCGGGAGGCATCCGGGTGATTCATCCACGAGGCATTTAATCGCCTCCTTCAGCCCCGGCTCCCGTCCGTCCGTCCGTCCGCCCCTTCCAGCGGGGCTCGCTTTAATTCTCCACCAGCCGATTATCCGCTTGACTGCCCGCCGCCGGAGAGGCACCGCCGGCCAGCCGGATCCCGGCGGGAGCGGGAGGGCGATGGCACGGGGCTGCCGTGGAGCCAGGGAACAGGGCGAGCAGAGCTTCCTTCCCCCGCACCCCATTCCCGGCAAAGCGGGGTGCTGTCCCCCCCCGCGCGGCGGGGTGCATTCCGGCCCCGCCGGGATTAGTCCTGGCATAAATACTCTCTTGGCTAATGGAGCGTCTTCCTCGGCTGGGTTTAGATTCCCGGGCTGTGTGTACGCATGCCTTCAGCCCGCAAAACTCCCCGACATAAACAAGGCTGAGGCCGAGGGATGCCGGCTCCCTCCGCCCGGGGAATGCGGGAGGATCGGGATCAGCCTCCGGCCTCACCACCCCGTAGCCGCTTGTCCAGAGGGGCAGACAAACGTCCGGCGACGGACAGGAGGACAGGAACAGCCCTTGGGGAAGAGCGAGTACAGAGCTGCCGGGGCTGGAACGAGGAAGCGGCGGAGGAAAAGGCAGCGAGCAGCCAAGGGAGCAGATGGGGGATTGCAACAGAGCGGAGGAGCGGCGGGATCAGGCGGGGGTCACACACGGCCCTGTCCCACCCCGGCTTTGCTCCCAAAACCCTCCGGACCCCACGCTTCAAGGGGGAAAGGAAGCATGAGCACGGGGGGATGAGACACAGGGGCCACAGGGGAAAATTTCATCCACGCACTGGGCACATTCCCCCCTGGGGAGGTACCACCCCTGGGGTTCCCTCCCCACGCCACGGTCCCCCGGGGTGAGGGATCTGGCATGGGATGGGAACGAGGGCCACGAACCGGGCTCTCCGCAGCCGCTCCGCTACCAAATAAGGCCTCCGCCGAGCCTTTTACATGCCGTTCTCGCCCGCCAAAGTGACGTGACCGCCTTGCCAAATTGTTCTGACTCCTCCGTGGGGAACCCCTGGCTCACAGCTCCCCTGGGGTGCCAGGAGCAGGCAGGAGGAGCGGGGCTGAAGTGAGTGCTTTTCCCGCTTGGCAGCACCCTGACTGACCTCCCCAGGACAGGGGCTGCTTCTCACTCTATTTTGGGGGGGCAGGAGCCCGGAAGGCAAGCCCTGGGAGGGGAGAGGTGCGGCGCAGTAGCCGGGCAACCCCCTTCCCCTGCGCTTAAGCAAATACTCGACAGCACCGGCTCTTCCAGCCTGGGCTGGGAAAAACTCCTGCAGGGAAAATACCTGCCTGGCACCGGAGGAGCCCGGCTTGGCCATCGCCCTCCTAACGTGTTCCCGGCACAGCGGGTGACCCTGGCACCTCGCAGCCCTCCCCTCCAGGGACTCCCCATGTCCAGCATGGAAAGATCAGGGGTTCCCCAAGGGCAAGCAGTGCGACAGCCGGCCCCTGGCCCCCCGGATCCAGCCAGGGGGGCACATGCCGTGCCGTTGCGGAAAGGCAACAGGCCTCCACGGATGTCTCCCACTGCCACGTTCGACCGAGCCACAGCCGCGGGACCCGGCAGCGTCATCTCCCACACACCCCGCGAGGCCACGACGGAAAAACTCCCCATTATTTAGGAAACTTTTGGAAGTTTGAGGCCAGAGCCACCTCTGGAACAAACAAATGAAGGTAGGCAACAGCAGGCGATGGAGCTGCGCTGATCCCAGCGCTGGCCATCAACCAGGGACCCCAGTACCAGCCGGCGGAGGACCTGCCGGAGCAGCTCGTGGGGTGGAGGGCAAGAAGGAAGAGGAGATCCCAGATCGGAATCTTCTCGTTCTCACCCTCCCAAAGTCCAAATTCCCATCTCAAGGTCACGGGCAAAACCAGGAACTTTGCGGTTGGAACGCAGAAAGCCAGCTCTTACACTGGCGGGGCGTGGGGTTGGTCTCCCGTGGGGAGATGTTTCGGACATCTTTGGGTTGAGACCCACGGGAAGGGACGCGTAGCCACTGGATGCGCGGTAGCCACCGGCACCGGCAGCACCAGGCACCGGCCCCGGGACCGGGGGGAGCCTGATTTGCCCCCTCACTCCCCCGCGGAGCTGCGTGTCTCGAGTGGAGCTCCCCGTGCTCGCAGGTCCCCGCCGGGGAGGCGGAGGGGCGTTTGCGGGGAGTCCCGGGGGGATGCGGGCGGTGGACGGGGGCGTCCCCAGGAGCGGGGATGCGCTCCCCGCCGCTCATCCCCGTCCCCCCGCAGCAGCCCCGCGTACCTGGAGCCGCGGAAGCCGATGAGACCCCCTCGGCGAAGACCCCCCCTCCCATCCTGGGTAGTTGGGTAGTGGGCACCCGCGGAGCGCAGCCCCGGGGATCGCGGGTGGGGACGAAGATGCCGGACCTCCTCCGCCCCAAACCCCCGTGTGTGTGTCCCCGGTACCTCCTCCTCGGGCAGGCCGGTGTCGGCGGGGCCGCCCTCCCGGTCGGCGGGAGGTTGCTCATGGTGCGACCGGCCAGGCTCTTCGTCCCGCCGGCGGCAGCCGCGTCCGGGCGGGCGGCGCTGGAGGCTGGTCCCGGCGGCGGCGGGGGCCGGGGCGGGGCGGCGGGGCCGGGGAGGGACGAGGCGGGGGCGCGGCGGAACGGCGGAAGGCGACGGGGGACGCGGCGGGATGGAGGGGCGCGGGGTCGGGAGCTCGGGAGGTGGGACACGGGACGCGTGATGCGGGGTTTTGGAACTCGGCACGCAGGGGTAGGGAGATGGGACACAGTCCCAGGAGCGTAAGACACAGGGTGGGGACACTGGACACAAGGTTGGGGACGCAGGACAGAAGTCTGGGGACACTGAGCGCCGGGTTGGGGACACAGGACAAGACTGGAGACATGGGACATAGTCTAGGACCTGAGGTTGGGCTTACAGGACACAAGGCCAGGGACACAAGGCACAAGGAGGGGGAGATGAGCACAGGGCACAAGGTCTGGGGACATGGGGCAGTCCCAGGAATACCGGACACAGGCTGGGGGCACAAGTCAAGGCTGGGGAGATGGATGCAGTCCTGGGGACACAGGCCACACGGCTGGGGACATGGGGCACAGATCCAGGGACACGGATGCATCACGGCTGTGGGGCAGAGGAGGGGACAGTGCTGGGGACACTGGATGCAGGACTGGGGGCAGTGGGGGGAGCAGTGGGGGCTGATCACCCAAACCAGGCCCACCTGGGGGGGTCAGTCCCTCCTCCCCCAGCCCCAGGATTGCATTTGACCTCCCTGCTTAGGCTGGGCTTTAGCTGAGCCCGTGCTGGGCCTAGCACCCTGCTCCCTCTCATCCTAGAGCCTGGATTTGGGTTGTCCCAGCCCTGCACATCCCCACGGGTGGAGCTGTGGTCCCACAGGCTCAGCTCCGGAGCAGGGTGACAGAGACCCTTGGGGTGAGGCCCAGCAGCTGCGTCCAGAGCAGGTGCTGCCTGCGCACAATGCACGGAGACCGGAGGTGACGCCGAGGACATCCTGCCGATGGCACGGGGCTTGTTCCCAACGGGCAGTTAAGGTCACAGCTCGCCTTTCTGCGCCTCAGCGGCCAAAACAGACCTGGGGGCAGCTGCCTGTGTGTCCTGCCGGCTGCCCCGGGGGACCCAGCCCAGCCACCGACGGGTTTGCAGCCTCCCCACAGTGGCAATTTACAGAGCAGAACCTCTCGTGCCGGGAGGGAGATGGAAGCGAGCTGTGCCAGCTGGATTTGGGGGAGCGGGAAGTGCCTGGCTACAAGGACATGTGACCCCCAGAGGGAATCCAGAGCAGAGGAACTGATCTAGTCACCCCAATCTGCTGGAGCCTCTTGCTTTTGGAGTGGATTCCCAGCAAAAGAGCCCTTTATCTTTGAATGAGGGGAGAAGCTGGACAGATGAATGTTCCACTTCCACGGGCATCACCACAAAAAGCTTTGTCTGGACAGCAGATGGGACAATATTCACAACCCTTATTTGGACTCGGCTTTGGGGAAGAGCTGCAGTTCCCCAGTGGCGCTGGAGCCAGGGCTGGAATCACAAACCAAAAAGCTGGCAGGTTTGGATTTCTGGTAGCCATGAAACTGAACTGAGGGAGAAAATCTGATTGGCTCCAGTGGGTGCTGCACCACTTCCATGCCTTGAACCCCCTGTCCCCAACCCCACATCCTACAGAACTTGGGGTTCCACTGCAGCGTTTGCTGATTCTCTCCCCTCTCTCTTTCCTACAGGAATTTCTTCTGAGGCACTGATGTCTGTGCCGGGACACACCACCAGGCTGTATCATACAGGGATAGATGGGTGTGGTTGTGGACATCCCTGGGGAATCTGGGGGGCCAGTTAGGAACCGTGGCTCCCAAGGCTTCCCAAGGCTCCAGGGGAGTGGCTTGTCGAGCAAGTGGAGTAGGTTCAGCTCCGTTCCGGGCCCTGTGGGAGGGAAGCCGAGCAGGAGCAGCCCTCGGGGGCAGGGACAGAGGGTGGCACGGGGTCCCTGGAGTCTTTCCCACTCCAGGACCCGCGTGGATCCGGGATGCAGGGCCGGGTCCCCCGAGCGGCGAGGGGGCACTTTGCCCTCTGGTGGCGGGAAGGGGGAAGCGCAGCGAGGTGGTACCGGGGCTGTCCCCGAGCTGTCCCCGGGGATGGCGCGGTGACACCGGCCCCGACAGCTCTTGTGTGACCCGGGCACTGCCCCCCGCGGAGCTAAAGGGCTGCGGTCCCCATCGGGCAGCAGAACAGGTGACGTTTTATTCCCAAAACAAAGCACGAAGAATAGGTAGTGTGGGAGAGACAACAGACCCAAACCTGGTCTGAGATTCCTGGTGGAAGATGAATAAAGGACACCAATAAGCAATAAACTGTTTGATGGAATGAGGATCACAGAGACCGGACGCTTCCCGGAGTGTGTAGTGCTTCCCAGAACCAAACGCCCGGCCAGGCACCGGGAGCAGCAGGCAGATGCTCAGCTCTTGACAGGGGTGGACGTGGCCTTCATGGTCTTCTTCAGGTGGTGGTAGTTGGGCAGGATCTTCATCAGGAAATCCAGCTGCAGCGTCTGGGGCTGGAAACGGAGGCAGGGGAGGTGAAGCAGCAGCCTGAGGGGGACAGGGGGTGAGGGCGTGTCCCCTGAGTCACACACCCACCTGCGGCCGCTCGGTCTGCACGCGCCGGAGGCAGTCGGCCCCGTAGATGACAGTGTTTTCAGGGATCACCTCGTAGGTGTTGATGTTACAGCAGGCCCCGATGATGCAGCCGCTCGTCAGGATCACATTCCTGCCAACAAATGCTGCCAGAGAGAGAGGGAGAGAGAGGAATCCCTGTCAGAGCTGTGCCCAGCAGCGTCTACAGGAGCAAAACCTCACCAGGGCCAAAGATGATGGGCCGAGACTTACCTTTGGATTCGATGACGTTGTTGTCTCCCACCTTCATTGCTTGGGAATCTACAGGTCTGTGTTAAGTAAAACTGTAAAATGCTTGGCTTTTATTTCAGCAGGTAAAACCCTGATGCCACTTGCAAGCCAATACCCAGCACTGGGATGCCTGAACCAGGACAGAGCCCACACGTGCCTCCCCCTGTATCAGTCCAGAAGCACAGTGTATCCATCACTCCACAGCAAGGATACAGCACCCAACCTCAAAAACATTGTTGGTGCCAATGACCATGGGTTTGGGCTCCACATCTTCTGTCTCTGGGGTAATATTTTCTGGATATCTGCAAGAAGGAAGAACAGATTTCCACATCAGAGATCACAACTCAGCCACGTCCTGTTTGGCAGCTCAGTTTCCTGACAGACTGAGGCCATCTATACTCCACCCAATCCAGCTGGACTGTCAGAGTTTTGACACTGCTTAGGATTAGGATCCTTCTCCTCTGTCAGCTGGAAAAGGATTCATAGGGAGGACTTAGCAACCTTCCAGTATCTGAGAGGGACCCACAGGGAAGCTGGAGAGGAACTCTCTGTCAGGAACTGTAGTGACAGGACAAGGAATATTGGGTACAGATGGAAAGAGGGGAAATTTAGGTTAGATATAGGGAAGAAATTCTTTACTGTGAGGGTGGTGAGTTACCAGAACAGGTTGTCCAGGGCACTTGTGGCTGTCCCAACCCTGGAAGTGTTCAAGGCCAGGCTGGATAGGGCTTGGAGCAGTCTGGTCTACTGAAAGTGCCTATGCCTAGTGCCTATGGCAGGCAGGAAGGAGATGATCTTTAAGGTCCCTTTTGGAAGGGGCTTAGCATTCAGTAATTCCATGATTCTGTGATTTCTTCCCAAGCCATAGTGCCACAGACATACACAAAAGCATGAAAGTTTGGGATTTTTTTTTTTTTTTTAAATAAATGCTGCCTCCCCAGGGTTTTTAAGCCCAGCGCCCCCTGGTGCCCCCCCGCCCGGTGCGGCACGGACCCGTTGATGATGAGCGCCTGCTCCTCGATCAGGTTCCCTTCCCCGATGACGATGGGCCCCGCCTCGGCGATGATGCGGGCCTTGGGGTGGATCACGGTCCTGGGCCCTGCGGGAACAGCGCCGCGTCACCCCGCACCCGGGGAAAAAAGGGTGAGCGACACGGGCCGGGGGTGCGGGGGACACAGCCCTTACCGATGGTCACGTCCCCGCGGATCTCGCTCTCCACGCACACCACGGCCCCCGGCGCGATCTTCACGCTGCGGGCAGGGACGGGGCGGTCACGGGCGAAGGGGATCCGCCGAGGGGAGGGGGCGGCGCGTCCCGGGGCTGCTGCGGGGGGATCGGAGGGGGATCGGGGGGGATCGGGGAAGGGGTCGGCACTCACCTTTTCTGCGCCTTCTCCGCCATGGCCGCTCCGGGCGCCTGCGCGGGGCGGGGCACCGGGGGACGCGCGGGCGGGGCCGCCGCCGCTGTGTCACCGCCTCTGTCACCGCCTCTGTCACCGCCCGTGTCACCGCCTGTGTCCCCGCCTCTGTCACCGCCTCTGTCACCGCCCGTGTCACCGCCTCTGTCACCGCCCGTGTCGCCCGCTGTCCCCGTTAGCGCCCGGCCGGCGGCGGGGGCTCCGCACCCGCCTGGGACACAACAGACCGAGCCGCCCCGGGGTGCTGGGGGCTCAGGAAGCGGCGCCCCGGGCGCCTGAGAGCACAGACCGAGCCCCGTGTTTTGGGGCTCAGGGGAGAGGAGGGTCCTGCGTGTTCGTGCTTGAAAAGCGGACACCGAGCCCCGTGCTTTGGGGGGCACCCGGCTTATTTGGCTAGTTTGAGGCTCCTGGGACCAATAAATAATGCATTTTGGGAGGCTCAGAAACGGAGACAAAGTCCCGTGGGGTTTTGGGGCGGGGGGGGGGAGAACCTCAAAGTCCTACAGTGTTCGCGCTTGGAACCAGTCCCAGCTGGGCAGTCTTAGGGCAGCGAAAGGGAGACTCAAGTCCTGCCTCGTGAGTCCGAAACGAGGCAATTTAAAGCTTTGATCACAGAGCCCAAATCCTGCGATTCTGGGGCTCAGGACAGAGCTCCGGACAGGTGAGGGGGTGGGGCGAAGCCACAAGGGGAGCAGGTCGGGCCAGTGGAGGGACTGGGAAAATTTATTTCCGAAGTCGAGAACACAACATCTGGGTACAAATCTGCACCGGGCCTAGGGAAAGACACACCCCCTGTTCTTCTCAGGGCTTTTATCATCCCTGGCACCCCCGCTGTGGGGGCCTTCAAACGTGTCTGCGAGAACTTATCTTCTCTCGTACCCGGGAGTCAGCTCCTTTGCAATGCAGGAGGAGAAGACACCTAAAAATTTGTCTCTGGGCAATACGCCTTTTTCCAGGCAGGATGATTCCTTAAGTGAAAACCCCTAATCTCCTCCTCCTAAAATCTTCCAGGAGGGTCTTCTAAAGTAACAATCCCTCTCTCCTCGTCCCCGCCTCCATCTTTCCCGGCAGCAGCGGGGTTCGGAATGCCGATTAATAAAGCCCAAAGGGCGTTGAGCCCCCCATGGGGCCCGGCCCGCTCGGCAGATCCCCCCCATGGAGTCCAAAAGCACTGCCCGACACTGCCGGGGCTCCGACCCGTCCCAATATCACACTTGGGATGGGTTCGGGCTTGGAGCAAGCCCTGCAAGTGTGATCTCAGAAACAGACCCCGAGATTTCCATTGCCTCCAAACAGCTCCCTTTGGCGAATAAAAACCAGTAACGGCGGGCCCAGCGCGCCCCGAGTGCCGCCTGCAGTTCCTGTTCGGATTCGCCAGACGGCGCCACTGAGCGCGCTCGTTCCCGCAGCGCCGCACAGCGCGCCCCGAGTGCCGCCTGCAGTTCCTGTTCGGTTTCGCCAGACGGCGCCACTGAGCGCGGCCGTTCCCGCAGCCCCGCCCCGCGGCCGCAGGTGCCGCGCAGGGCCCGCCCCGGCCCGGCCCCGCCCCGCGGCCCTTTTCCCGAGCGCCAGTGGGGCCCCGGCGGGAGCTTTGGTGTGCCGGGTCCGGGAGGAGCAGGTGAGTGCCGGGGCTGTGCGGAGAGGGGCCGAGCTGCCGGCTGCGGGTGCCGCGAGCCCGGGTGTCGGTGCCCGGCAGGGCCGCGTGTGCGGCGAGACCTTCGGGCCCCCGCGGGACGGAGGGCGCGGAGCTCGGCTCGGGCCGTCCCGGCTGCGGCCCCGGCCCCGTCCGGGGGGGCTGGAGCGGCCGCCCCTGGGCCGTGCCGGGAGCTCGGCTGCCCCGGGCCGGGGCCTCTCCCGGAGGGACGCGCGGCGCGGCGGGAACGCGCCCGGCCCTCGGTGTCGCGTACGCGAGTGTTTTCCCACCGTCTTTGCACAGGTTGAGCTCCGCGGGAACTGCCCGGGGGCTGCCGGCCAGAGCCCCCCGAGGATGGGGCTCCCCCCGAGCACGGGGCAACCGCAGCCACCTGCGGGTCAGCCAGCGGAAAGGTTTCCCGGTTGTTGCAGTCTCCAAACTCGCCGTGCCTCGTTCCCGGCAGCCCTGCCCGGGCCAGCCCGGCTCAGCACAGCAGCGGGAGAGGACGAGCCCGGCCAGGACACAGCAGAGCCCCGGGAGAGGTGACACGGGAGGGAATGTCGGGTGAGTGCTTTGACACGGGCTGGGGGGTCTGTGCTGGGGGGCTGTGGCAGGATTGGACCCCTCGTGTCTTTGCTGCAGCTGCATTTGCTGTTTGGTGCTGGCCTGGCCCAGCTGTGTGTGTTTGCTCAGCTCTCCCTCACACAGGCCTGTTCCAGCTCCAGCCACGCAGCTGTTCCAGCCACCGGCCCATCTGGACAAGAGTGTTCCTGCTTCGTACAGCTCCTGCTGCTGGACCCTCCCCTGTCCTACTGCTCGGGATGCTTGGAGACTCAGGTGATTGCAATTCCTTCTGTTGTTTCACTTTCAGGTAATGCCCCATTCAGCTTCTTCAGGTTCCAGCTGTGGCTGTGCAGTGCTCCAGGTGCTTCCAGGCTGCTCCAATTGATTCCAGCTGTGGCTCCGAGATGCACCAGTTCATTCCAGCTCTAGCTCCAAGGTGCTCCAGTTGATGGCTGCTCCAGCTGGTTCCAGCTCTGGCTCCGAGATGCTCCAGCTGGATTCCAGCTCTGGCTCCGAGATGCTCCAGTTGATTCCAGCTCTGGCTCCGAGATGCTCCAGTGGATTCCAGCTCTGGCTCCGAGATGCTCCAGTGGATTCCAGCTCTGGCTTATTAAATGTTGCTTCTTGTTGCAAGCCAGTTAAAGCTCCAGGTGCTTGGAGCGATTTGGGCTTCTGGCCAAGTTGTAAATCACTCACTGTCATCGAGTGTATATGAATATGAGCTGTCATAATTGTCTCAATATTGTAGCTATTCCGGTGTTTGTACAAATAAAGAGTTGGACTGGAAAAAGGGCTGGAAAGTGCCTTTCGCTCCAGAGACTATCTCGAACGCTTAAATCGGCCTGGTGCATGCCAGCGTCCCGGAGTTTGGGGAACAACGCGACCGGACCCCCCCCTCCGGAGGGGGTCCACGCAACCCCGGACCCCCTCCCTGGGAGGGGGTCCTCATGCCCAGCCCTCCCCCTCCGGAACCCCTCCTCCGGAGGGGGTCCTATGCCACCCAGCCCTCCCACCAAAGTCAGCCCAGCCCCGGCCTCTGTTTTGGGGGGCTGGAAACAGCCGGCTGAGCCGCTGCTTCCAGCCTCCAAAACAAGGCCCTGAGGGACTTTTCTGAGGCCCAGAAAGGCAACCCTGAGGCTAAATCCTCAAATTTCCAAGTTGGAAAAGTGCTGGACTTAGTTTTTTTCTGAGCTTCAGAAAAGCCTTGCCCACCCTCTGCTTTGGAGCCCCAGAAGCACAGCACTTAGTTGGGTTTCTTTCTCAGAGCTGGGAAACTGCAGGACTTAACCTGCACTTCAAAGGCTGAATAGGTGGGACTTAGTCATTTTTGGAGCTCAAGAGGAAACTGTGGGACTTAACCAAAATTTCAAAGGCTGAAACTGCAGGACTTAACCTGCATTTCCAAGGGAAAACTGTGGGACTTAACCAGAATTTCAAAGGCTGAAACTGCAGGACTTAACCTGCATTTCCAAGGTTGAATAAGTGGGACTTAGTCATTTTTGGATTTCCAAGGGGAAACTGTTGGACTTAACCAGAATTTCAAAGGCTGAAGCTGCAGGACTTAACCTGCATTTCCAAGGCTGAATAAGTGGGACTTAGTCTTTTTGGGAGCTTCACAGAAGGCTGTGCTTGTGGGATCCAAAATCCTTCCCAGAGCTTGTTTTCAAGGCCCAAAAGTGCAACCCTCAGTCTCTGTTCTCAAAACATGAAAACACAAGATTTAGCTTCCACTTTTAGGCCCCAAAACACAGGACTTGGTCTCCATTTTCAACCGTGGAAAATGCAGCACTGAGTCCCTTTCTGGGCTCCAAACCCACCCCAGTTCACAACGTTTCCAAGCACCCAAAACACAGCACTTGGAGTTCAACCCCGCACTGCACCCCTGCCCGGGACCCCGCGTGTGATGTGATGTGATGCTGGGGGGCTGGGAGGGAGCGCTGCCCACCCCCCACCCAGGGCCCGGGTCCAGTCGGTGGGAAGTGCTTGGGAACTGTGCTGGAGGGCCCTCCGTGCAGGAGGGGCCCGTCCCGTGTCTCTGTGGGGCCGCGCCGGCAGACGGGGGGGAGCACTTTATTCACGTTTATTGCACCTGCACACACACAAAGAGCCGCAGCCCCCAGGGAGCCCTGCCTGGGAACAGCCCGGCCGGGCACGGAGCACCACGCCCGTGTCCAGCCCAACGTGCCCCGCCGCCCCCCGAAGCCCTCCGGCCGCAGCGAGCCCCGAACCCCCCCACGGGAACCTCCCGCCCGCTCCCCCGAGAGAAAGCCCCTCGGAGCCCCCAGACCCCGCCCGGGGCAAGCCCCGGCGGCCGCGGCAGCCGCTGCCCGTCCCTGCCCAGCCCGAGCGGCTCCCGGCACTCGGCCCCGCCGCCGCCGCTGCCCGACCCGTCCCGGCACAGCCTCGGCCCGGGGCCGCCTCTGTGCGCCCGGAGGCTCCGGCCCCAAGCCCGGCAGGGCTCCCGGCCCCGCGGCCCCTCACCTGCTCCGGGCTCCGCCGCCGCTGCCCCCGCGTGGAGCGGAGACCCCACAAAGAAGCCCAGACCTGAGAAAGGAGCAGCCTCGCCGCGGCCGAGGCTTTTCTGGCCCCGGCCCCGCCCCGGCCCCGCCCCGGCCCCGCCCGGCACCTGCTGCTCGTTCCGGGCCCCGCCCGCCCCGCACCTGCTGCTCGTTACCGGCACCGGCACCTCCTCACCGGCCCCGCCCCGCCCGCATCGGGACCGGCCCGTTCCCTGCCCGGTCCGCCCCCCGCCGGCCCCGCCCCGGCACCGGACCGGCCCCTTCCGAGCCCCCGCGGCAGCCGCACCCCCGGCACAGCCGTGCGGGGCTTGGCCCGGCAATCGGGGCCGCTCCCACCGCTCCCCGCCCCGGGCCCCGAACGCTGAGGGACCCTGATCTCTTTGAGGGAGCCTGTAGTCAAGCGTTGACTGAAATAATGGCTCCAGAGCACGGTTTTCCATCGCCAAGTGCTCCTGAATTCAGGGTTCAAATGTGGCACAGAACGGAGTCAGTCTCTTCTCCACCTTCGCTGAGAACAGACAGGGTGCCCGATCTCTAATCCCGCAGCCAAGGTTGTTTTCCTCCTTGTGTCAAAGCCAGCCTGGCTCGTGGCACAGTTCTAACACAGCAGTGCCAGCACGGGGCATTTCAGACCAGACACTGCCCAACCTCTGGCTGGGCCACTGGATTTGTGCTGGGCTCCCCCACATCTCGGGAACACACTGCTCCAATCACACCCTCTGTCCAACAGATGCCTGCGATTACAAAACTTCCACTGCATAAACCCCTTCCCCTCTGAAGGACTCAGTGCTATCACAGTCAGTATCACCCAAAAAATAAACAGCTTATCCAAATTTCCCAGTCATTTCTCTATGGAACAGGCCCAGCGTCACAGCAGTCCCTGTGCCTTTCCACGGAAGGGAGCCTGGTTTGGACGCTCCCGCTACACCTGCACTAGGAAGCAATGGTGGGTCACGGCTGCTCTCCGGGGTTTTTCCGCACTGTCAGACTCTCCGTGTGGTTCGGTTCTCAGTCAGAGCCGCTCCCCACAGCGCTGTCCCGGACGGGCCCGGGACCCCCGGCCCCGCAGCGCCCCCCGCGCCGCCGCTCCGCCTGGCGCCGTCTGGCGGACACGGCCGGTACTGCAGGGCACATTCCATGGCACGCTGAGTTTATTAATTATTTATTTTCCCCTTTCGGGCATAAAGCAGTGAGAAAATGACACTGTCTCCTCTTGCCCTGGCAGCATTTGGTCCCAAGCTGCAGCTCACCATCAGTGCTGGGCACTGGGAACCAGCTGCACAAATGCACATGCCTCTATGACAGTTCTCTGCTGGAGAAACCATGGTTTTCCTGGTCTTTGATCCCAGTTCTCCTTCCCTCTGTGGCCACAAGCAGCATCTGGAGCAGATTTTCACCACCATCAATTAAAACTTCATATTGGGGGTGGTGGGAAGGGCATAAACTGGGGGTTCTGCCTTAAAAACCATCTCTGCCTTCAGCCCAAGGATCTGGTCTAAGGGGGCACAGATGGTCTCGAAGGGAGTGTACAGCCCATGCGGAGGCTGAGCAGATTTGGAGCCTGGCACTCGCTGCACCGGTTGGGTTTCCATCCCTCCATACCTATGTATTTGCTTCCCTCTCATCAATTCCCTAGGCAGGACCCACGAGGATCGTTTCAGCTGGATCTTCTCCTCTTCACAGGCTTGGCTTTGGACCTTAGAAGATGACAACATATTGTATTTTCATTTTTCAAGCGAGAAAGGGAAAGCTTCACTCTAAGGAGACCCCACAGAGACCCCACAACGCTCCCAGCAGAACTTTGGGATGAGGCTGCATCCCCCAATCTGGAGACCCCAACCCAGCAGCAGCAGGGGCAGGAATGGAACCTGATGTGCACACCTGGCTGAGGCACATTCCAGAGCTGAGCTTCCCAGGATAACAGCTGACATTTCCCAGCAGCATCTCATGCTGCCAACTTGGGGGGAGAGGAAGGGGGGGGTTCCTCAATGCTCCCCACATGGAAGGAGACCTGGAGATACGACCAGGTTCTGGAGTGGAGGGCTGGCTGCTCTCATCCCAGCACACCACCACTTCTCCCAGTTCTCCAGTGCCACATACAGCACCTACTGCCCCTTCTGCTGCCAGCCCCAGGCTCTCCCAAAAACCCTCAGGCACACGTGGGTGCGACACCCAGACATCCGTCATTCCAGATGGGAGTCACCCTGACCCAGCACTAGTGCCACACGGTCATGGCAGAGCAGGGCACCCATCGGGCCACCACCACCTCACAGAGCTGCTGTTCCCACCCTGGGTAGGTTTGGTGTGCTGGCAACCAAAAACAGAGTGGCTCCTTCCTCACTAAATGATCCTGACCACACACGGTGGGATTCATGCAATGCTTTCCCTGGCACATCTACTCTTGCTGTTGTGCCCCCCATCCATCACAGATACCGATGTCCCATAGCCACACATCCCAGTTTTCCCGAGTTAATGATTAAAACCTGTTGGATTTCAGAGGCACTGCACCCAGACCCCGGCAGGCAGGCCAAGGATGCTCGCCCTCTGGGATTAATCATTCTCCTGGCTGTTGACACTGTATCCATATAAACACTGGGATGGGATTCCCAGTGCCTCTTCCCGGCAGGAGGAGGAGGGAAGCCAGCCCCAACATGAGGGCAGCTGTGGCCCTGCTGCTGCTCCTGGCCACTGCACATGCAGCACACCGAGGTAAGGGCTGGGGTTTGCTGTGCCCTGGGATGAGGGGTATGGGGCTGAGGTACTCAGTTCTGGTGGTTTTTGTGGCCTCCCCTCTCCCCAGCCCATTGCCAAACCTCTGTGCAGGATCAGAGAGGAAAGGGAAGCACTGGGGTGATGGTTTGGTAATTAGGATGCCTCTTTGGGGTGATGCTGGAGTAGATGGGAAGGGGAGAGGCTGAGCTGGGGTGGGAGGAGGAGAGGACAGAGCCACAGGGATCAGCTCCTTCCCTTCCCAAGGGAAAATGGGATTTCCTCACCCCCATTTAGAAGCAGCATTTCCCTGTAAAACTCACCCCTCAGTGGAAATGATGCCCTGTGCTGCCTTTTCCTCCCTTCTCAGCTCCACAGGGAATTACCTATTTGCCAAAAAAACCCCTAAAACTTACTTCTCCCACACGGCTCTATGGAAGTGAACAGAAATGCAATGAATTGGGACCAACAGCCACTGTTCCTGTGAGGAAAGGGTCCTGCCTTTTCCACAGCTTCCCCTTTCTGGCAAACTCCCCCCTCACCCTTCCCTTCCCTTCCCTTC